CAGGTAACTGATTCAGCAGGATTCATTAACTTCTCTTTATATATATAATAACACATGAAGTAATATATACAATATCAAGAGTAGTTCTTCCAATGTGTTAGAGAGGAGAAATTGTAAGTAGGTACAAACAAAGGCAGGCTCAGCAGAGAACTGGTTTCAGTTTCAGTTCAGCAGACTAGTTTAAGTTTCCAAACAGTCCTCATTGGCTGACTTACTTGCTATGCCTATTCATTGGCTGACCTTGTTACCATGTCTCTGCCAGTCATAAATACACTGACGTTTTCTGTAAGAGCTCTCCACCTCAGAGGCAAAAGTGACCTCATTGCTCGTAGTCTTTTGAACATTTGTTTAAAGGATTTTGGGGGACACATTGTCATTCTGAAAGGGATGTGACACTCTGAATGTTGTATCAAGATATATTGTTATTTTTTTATTTTAAAATTTTATTTTGTATGTTGTTTGAGTAGTTGTTTGAATAGTGAACCATTTGGAGTAGGATACAATTGAAGTCTAAAAGCCCCATAAATAAAATATTCACTCCTCATCTTATTGGCATTGGCACTATAGGTTTTGTTTCTGCTGGTTTACCTTCTGGAATTTCTCTGTGTCCCAGGGTGTTCAAGGGTGTCCCAGGCTCAAGATGTGGAAAGAGGCTGTTTCAGGACAATCACATTGAATATCCTTTTTCTTTGAATTCCAGAGACTGGCCAGTTGCTGAGACTATAAAATTGCTGAGAAAATCCCTTAGAGCAACAGATTTGGTGTGAATCAATTGCAGTGGTACGGTGCCAATGAATTATAAACTCACCAGAGTGTGGTCTGGCTATGACCAAGGAGTAATCATGATGTCCACTTTCAAATTACAAACCATCTATTTCAAAGTAAAGACTAGACATTTAAGACAAACCCATGGATGTTGTGAATTCCTAAACCATTCCAGACTCCACTCTAAAGACTGAAAACTCCTAGCATTAACAGCCAAAGAATCTAAAAGTAGCCCATTGATAAGAGAGGTGTTCAGGTAGAGGTTTGGATAGACATGCTAATAAGCAGAAAGGTAAACAGCACGTAGAACAGTACAGATCCTAACTTTTTCCTACAGTCCAGTTTCAAATACTGATATTCTCATCTGTTCACCAAGATATAAAGAGGACTAAAGTCTGTTGAAAGACCACCCTGGTACCCATCTCTGACTTAAGTTTTATTTCAGATGCTATATATATGCTAAATCCAAAAAGAGTAATAGTCACCATTTGATTTTAAAATTTGGTAAAATTGATGCTTCTTTGTTTCTAAATTCTAAATGGTCTTCCCATCTCTGTTGTTAAAAAAATATTGCCTTATATTCCTTTTTTTAACTGATGTGTACTTCCACATTTTGTTAGAGTAATGTCAATATCCATTGAGGTCAAAGTGATCCTTATCAGTTTTATGTTCTTCACTTCAGCATTGCTATGATACCATTCTTGTTTATGAAATGCAGGGTGGCGGTGCCTATTTGGAGCATACTTTATAACGCTAACAATTCATTCAGCTTTATGCAAGATCTCACATCTTATCAAAAGTTTCCCTCAGGGAAAAAAATGATAGTTTTCACTTTACCTCGTTGAGAATCTTGCTAATCGATTGATTTATAGAAACAGGCTCTTTCTTTTCAATCTCCTTCATTGAAACCAAAAGTACTGAATTATGTTCCAAATGTGCAAGGTTAGAAAATCCATAAAAACCTTTAAGACTGGCTAACTCCCAATAATGTTTCAAGTTGTGTCAATTAATAAGTGCCCCCCTCTCCCTAATATTAGAAAGAAAAATATTTGCCTGATTCCAGAAGACATTGGATGAAAACTTTGCCATAAAGTATCCCTTGTACGTATCTGTCATTAGAAATGCGCCAACTTCTTAGAATTCGCAAAGACAGTACTGGTGGTATTGATGAACCATTTGGCTGTTACAACTGAGGAGCAATCTATTTATATAATAATATATAAATAAATGTTGAAGACTGGAATTCTCCAGGATTCTGGTCAACTTACTCTGTAACATTTTGTGGTTCATTTTTCCCCCTTTTGCTTGAGGGCAGAACTAGGGCAAAGAAATAATTTTTATTCACTTCAGAAAGGTTACAGCAATAAAGAAACTCTTGTTAATATCAAGGAGCATGGCAGCCAGGAGTTTTCACAGTCTGGCATTGTTTGTTTTACCAGCAATTTGGAACCTTCTGCACTCTTAAAATATTGGCAAGAAAATATTTAACTGTTAACTGTTTTGTGGCAAGCATGTCTTGTGTAAAAGAAACCCTTGAAGAAGCAGAATTCTCTTCCTCTACTTTTGAAAGATGTGGGAAAAGTTAAAAATCCTGTAATATATATGCTGTCTTTTATGGATAATTAAAATATCCATTTAAAAAAAACACAGTCGAGAAATCCGCATGTATAAAAATAACAAGAAATGTAGCAGAAATTACTAATAGATGGATTGGGGAAAAAAGAAGGATAATTAGCAATCAAGTGTATTTATCTCTTTATAATATGTTGGATGAAAACGCTGAAATGTTCAAATTAGTCATTACTATATTACCAATTGCTGATTGTAAGAAGAGAAATGAAAGGGGCCTTTGGTATAAGTGCTTTCCCTTCCTTTCTTTCCCTTGGCTACAAGAAGATATTTTGCTTTTGTTTTTTATTAACTTTGGTATAAGTGCTTTCCCTTCCTTTCTTTCCCTTGGCTACAAGAAGATATTTTGCTTTTGTTTTTTATTAACTTTGGTATAAGTGCTTTCCCTTCCTTTCTTTCCCTTGGCTACAAGAAGATATTTTGCTTTTGTTTTTTATTAACTTTGGTATAAGTGCTTTCCCTTCCTTTCTTTCCCTTGGCTACAAGAAGATATTTTGCTTTTGTTTTTT